TAGATTTACCCCTTTCTACGGACAAATAATTTCTCAAAAATTTTTGAGAACTGGGAAAGAAGAGGAATTGGTCTATAGTTGGATAAAAGATGCCGGTTTTAGCAGTTTTCATATTACTTGGGAATATGCCTGTTAAAAAGGACTGATTACAAATATGTGTAAATGGTTTTACTTTATGCTCTATAATATTTTTTATTAACGACATGTCAATATCATTACAATCAGTGGAATATTTATTCTTAAAATTATTAATAATGTCAAGTATTTCCTTTTCATCAACTCCCTTAATAAACATTGAGTAATCATTACTGGAAATATTTTTCTTAGTGTGAAGAACATTTTAATAATCTAATCTAATTTTTCCTCAAAGAACCTTTCGCACTGGAAAAATTCATGGATGTTAAAGGATCTTCTTAGACCCATCAATGCCAGTAAAGAATCTTAAAGAGTGTAGTTCTTCTTCAGAAATGTCTTTGTAGATGTCCGGTATCTTTTGTTTCACAGCGAGTATTATATTTGACCCTGGAGGGTCAATTTCTTTTAAAATTGAGATTTATGCATCATCTAAAAGCTGAATAAATGAGCTTTCCATTGATGTATGGTTTGTTAGGATAGAACAATATTAGAAAATCTGGAATCTGAGGGTGCAAAAAAATCTAAATATTGAGAAAATCATCTTTAAAGTTGTCCAAATGAAGTTCTTAGCAATGCATATTACTAATCAAAAATTAAGTTTTGATATATTTACAGTAGGAAATTTACAAAATATCTTCATGGAACATGATCTTTACTTAATATCCTAATGATTTTTGGCATAAAAGAGAAATGGATAATTTTGACCCATACAATGTATTGTTGGCTATTGCTACAAATATACCCCAACGACTTAACACTGCTTTTGTGCTGCAGGCTCACATATAAACTTCAGCACAATCACGTCAGAGCTCGTGCTTTCGTGTGACGTCTGTGGCTCTGACTAGAACCATCAAGTCAAAGCAAGTGATGATTATTCTTGTGGATTTGATCCGTCTGATGCACTCGTTTGAGAATCTGTGTCGTCGTGTCACGTTAAACGCATCCAGGAGGCACATGCGCTCGTCCTTGAGTGTTTGTTTGGTTTGTCTTCAGATGATGTTGATTTATCATTCAAAAGAAATCACTCCTCCGTTTCCCTGGAAACAAAAAGCCAGAGGCGTCAGTGATGAGCGTCCATCAGTGTGTTCTGTTCCATCAGCTGCTCTGCAGAACTTATGTGAGCCGTTGGTTCATGTTGTGAAATTAGAGTTGAGGTTGTAGTGAGGATTTCTGGGTAATCACTTTAATTGGTGCTCATCTGCAGTAGTTCACATCAAGTTTTGCTGGTTATGATTGCCTAGTTAGTCCCTGCTGGAAGAAGTTTTTAATTACATTTAGTCATTTAGCAGATGCTTTTATCCAAAGAGTACGGTGGCCGAGAAGTGCAAAGCAAATCACAATTCTGAAAACAAAATAACAAATTACAAACGCAAATGCAAGTCTAAAAACCAAAATAACAATTCAGAAAGCTGTTATAATTATACCACATTTACAATTTGCTTTGCACTTCTCGGCCACCGTAAAAGAGACTTACAAATGAGGACAATAGAAGCAATCAGAATCAACAAAAGAGCAATGATATGCAAGTGCTATAACAAGTCTCACTTAGCTTAACACAGTACACAAGCAAGTTTTTTTTAATAATTATATAAAAAATTATAAACAGATAAAATACAAAAAGAATAGAGCAAGCTAGTATTAGAGACCTTTTTTTGCTTTTTGTAAATTGTATAATAAATGAAAAGAAAACAAATAGATAGAATACAAAAAGAATAGAGAAGCTAGAGTTTTTTTTAAGAAAACAAGCAGTTAGTAAATGAATAGAGTGCAATTCTAAAAGGGGCACGGTTTTTTTTTAAAGAATAGAATTAGAATAGAGAGTGCTAGAGTTAGAGGGTCAATAACAATAAAGTGACATTCTCTTGCAGAATTAATACACGTAATTTAATAATTACACCATCTGACTGAATGTCCAGCTTTGACAGTCAGTCAAAATCATCTGTGCATTCTGACAAAATGCTTTTTTTTTTATTTTGCAAGCATCAAATAAATGCCCAATATTTCCTGATATCACAGTATATGTTTATTAGCGACCGATTCTCTTTTAGAGGCTGGTGTGAGTGTGAACTGGACTAATATCTGCCGATGATTTATAGCAGTGAACGGGTTACTGGAGTGACTCTGCTGACTGTGTGTTGTGAATCTCACAGATGCAGATGAAATATTGAATGAAATCTCAGTCGCACTGATGATCACTGAACAATCAACCATGCATTTACTGTATTTCCAGACTTTATTTCGAATGGGATGATATAATGACTTCAAATGAGAAGACTATAAGTGTAATACTTCTTACATTAGCTCTTGTCATTTAAAATGTAGAGATCTCATTTATTTTTAGATGATTATGATGATGGCGGTGATATTCTGAATGAACCTTCACAAGCAAATCTCACTAATTTCTTTTTAAAAACTCTAGCAGTTAAGAGACGTTTAAGTGTGCATTAAGGTTTCTGACAGACACTTTAACAGTCTCTCTAGATTTTGTTTCTAAAAATAATAGCTTCTAAGATTAAACCAGTGTTATTTTAGTATATAGTATTACAGGTTGAAAGTTCGGAGATGGTATTAAAGTAGCTCAGTTTAAATGTATTGTATGAATTGCCCTTACTGTGGAATAAAAAATACATTTAGTTAAAAGTGGCTGTAAAATATCAGCTCCAGTGGCTTTTTGATGCGATCGACCCGGGTTCGATCCCGCCTTTTACCGAACTTTTTTTCCTCCCTTTTCAAATCTCATATTAGCAATGGATTCTATTTACACTAAGTGAGAATAGCAGTATTTTTAGCAATATGCTATTTACACTAAGTGCAAATACCTATTTACACTATGTTAAAATAGCAGGATTTCTACTATCAAGTATACTACTTGTTGCAAATAGTGGCAATTATCTGCACTTCAGTATTGTAGTACATTATAAAACAGTATGCAATAATAACGTATTGAGTGTAAATTATAATTTTAATTATTAAATGGATGCCACCTTATTGGTACAATAAAGCCCTCCCTACACCTACCCTAAGTAGCTCAGTTTAAATGTATTGTATGAATTGCCCTTACTATGGAATAAAAATACGGAGTGTATATTTACATTTACTTAAAAGTGGCTTGTAAAATATCAGTTCCAGTGGCGCAGATGGATAAGCGCGTGTCCTTGGCTTTTTGACGCGATCGACGCGGATTCAATTCCGCCTTTTGCCGAACTTTTTTTTCTCCCTTTTCAAATCTCGTATCACATCGTAAAGGCATTTATTTTAGATGAAAATTGGAACTTAGATAATTTAGAGAGAAGAACGTTGTGATTAACCGTGTCGAAAGCTTTGCGCAAATCTAAAAATATGGCACCAGCTGTTCCACCTTTGTCAAGTTTAGATTTTATTTGCTCTGTTAAATGTAAAGTAGCTGTTTCAGTAGAATGATTTACTCTGAAACCAAATTGCATACAGTGTAAACCAACCTGAGCTTTATTAAGATAAGATGTCAATTGTTCAAGAACTACCTTTTCTGCAACCTCTGAGACTACTGGCAATATGCTGATTGGTCTATAGTTGCTTACCACAAAATGATCCCCAGATTTAAAAATAGAAGAAACAATGGCTTGCTTCCATGCAGTAGGAAAAACACTATATTCAAATGATAAATTAATTAAATGATAGATAACAGGAGCTAAATTATCTTTATGAGTTTTAAGAAACTTAGTATCAAATTGATGAACATCCCTACATTTAGTATTTCTTAATGAGCTGATAACTTTGTTAACCTGTGTTTCATTAGTCATGGCTAGGTTAAAATTAATATTTTGATTTTAGTTCAGGTTTTTTTTTCAGTTTTCATTTAATTTAATTTAAATTATTAGTCATTGTGTTTAATTCTTGTAACATTTTATTAGTTTTTGTTTAGTTTCTTTTAAATATGACTAGTTAGGTTTATTTGATTTTTATTTCAGTATTTTAGTTCCATTTTCATTTTTTTCTATTTAAACATTTTAGTACTTAAACTTATTTCAGTTAGTTATAAGGCAGTAAGTTATAAGTTAAAAGTTATAATTTAATTTGCCATGCAATATTTATATTTTATTTTATATCAGCTTTATTTCTATCAACGATAGTTTTAGTTTTAGCTAACATGAATAACCCTGGAATAATCATCCTATTTATAAACTATTTAGGTTTGTTTCTTATTCTTATTTCAGGTTTAGTTTATTTCCAGTTAGGCATTTTTGTGCTTCAACTTACATTTATTTTAATTTGTTGCTGAGGCAGCATTTCTCATTTTTATTTATTTAATTTCATGCATTTATTTATTTAGTTTTTCATGTAACATTCAACTTTTTTTCAATTAACAAAGATGTTTTTAATTCTTATTTTAAGTTAACAATAATAACCATGGATTAAAGATTCAGAGTATTTATTTATTTATTTAATTCATTCATTCAGTTTTTGTTTTTATTTATTTTCCATTATTTTCAGACATCTTAAGTACTTAAATGAAAATTATTAGTGATGCCTTACTAACTAAAATAAGTTTACGTTTTTCATCTAATATTTAGATTTTATGTTATTTCATCTTTATTTCAGTTAACAAAAAAAAAAGGTTTTCATAGTTTTAGATCCAGATTATTTAGGTTTATTTTATTTATTAATTTCTTTTATTCATTCCGTTTTAGTTTTTATTTATTTTCAGTTAGACATTTTAAGCACTTAAAACAAACGAAAATTTTTACTGTTGCCTTACTAACTGAAATAAGTTAAAGTTTTTCATCTAATATATTTCAGCTTCTTTTTAATTAGCCTAAGGCCTGGTTTCACAGACAGGGCTTAGACTAAGCCAGGATTAGGCCATAGTTCAATTCAAGTAATTTTTCATAAACGTGCCTTACGTATCCGTCATGACCATCCTCTACTGTCGGATCTATAAGGAAACCGAGCGACGCACCAAAGATCTGGCCGAGCTTCAAGGAGTCAACTCTTTGAACGATTCAGACACACCGAATCAAAAGATTCATTCGTGTTTCACTTCAAAAGACGAGCAGCTGACCAACTTTAGCTACGCTTCATCCGAAGACGAAGAGCGCTCGGCTTCTCCCTGTGTCTTCAAAGAGACGAGAAACAAAAAGTGCGTTTCTTATAAATTCAAAGATGTTCGTTCTACGAAGAGCGCTAATGGAGAGGAAAAGCCCTCTTCGTTCTCGTCGGCCGAGTCTGTGAACGCACCGTCTTCCTCCAAACCCGTCGAAGGCACGCTGAAGAGCCAGATCACTAAGAGGAAGAGGATGGTTCTGATCAAGGAGAAGAAGGCGGCACAGACTCTCAGCGCAATCCTGCTGGCCTTCATCCTCACCTGGACGCCGTACAACATCATGGTGCTGGTCTCCACCTTCTGTAGGCCATAGTTCAATTCAAGTAATTTTTCATAAACGTGCCTTACGGGTGTGCATCTTGAGCCAAAACAAAGGCACTGATATATTTTAAGATCAGTCAGAGCAAGTTTCTTTCAGTTGACACAGCTCAGACTTACAGTTTAGTCTGGGACTAAGCCTAAGCCTTGTCTGTGAAACCGGGGGTAAATGTTTTAATAGTTTTAGTTACCGATAATAACCCTGTCTTAGACATCCAGACTCTCACGTTCAGTCGTGGTTCTGATCTGTGTGTTTCTGCAGGAGATGCGAGTGAATCGCGATGGACGGAGAGAAGAACGTCACCGTCAGCGCAAACGTCTCCGGCGCGCACAGCCTGTGGGAGGCGGTCTTGTTACGTCAACAGCACCGTCAACCCCATGTGCTACGCTCTCTGCAACAAGACCTTCCAGAAGACCTTCCGCATGCTGCTGCTGTGCCGCTGGAGGAAGAAGCGGCCCGAGGAGAAGCTGTTCTGGTGCGGACCGAAGCCTGCGGCCGGAAACAGACTCTCCTGAGACTCTGCTTCACTGCACAGAGGCACTTCCTCGAAGGGATGCACTACCCTTCAGCTTTTACTGTTACTGAAAGAAGTCTCTTCTGCTCACCGAGGATGCATTTATTTGATCAAAAATCTGGAAAAATTTTGAAATATTATAATCTAAAACAGCTGTTTTCTATGTGAATATGTGTTAAACTGTAATTTATTTCTGTGATGCGCAGCTGTATTTTCAGCATCATTACTCCAGTCTTCAGTGTCACATGATCTTCAGAAATCATTCTAATATGCTGATTTGCTGCTCAAGAAACATTTCTGATTATTATCAATGTTGTGCTGCGCAATATTTTTGTGGAAACTGTCATGCATTACCATTCACATTAATTAATTAATACTTTTATTCATCAAGGACGCATTAAACTGATCAAAAGTGACAGTAAAGACACTTTTAGAAAAGTTAGAAAAGATTTCTATTTCAAATAAATGCTATTCTTTTGAACTTTCTGTTCATCTGTGAATCCTGAAAAATAAAATGCATCACAGTTTCCACAAAAATATTGTGCAGCACAACTGTTTTCAACATTGATAATAATCAGAAATGTTTCTTGAGCAGCAAATCAGCATATTAGAATGATTTCTGAAGATCATGTGACACTGAAGACTGGAGTAATGATGCTGAAAATACAGCTGCGCATCACAGAAATAAATTACAGTTTAACACATATTCACACAGAAAACAGCTGTAATAATATTTCACATTTTTATTGAATTTTGATCGAATAAATGCAGCCTTGGTGAGCAGAAGAGACTTCTTTCAGAAACATTAAAAATCTTAATTACTCCAACAATGAAAACTGTCCAAAAATGACAAAGAGCTCCATAAACATGTCTCAAAAGTACCATGAAAATGGCTCCTTTAAAAATCAAATCTTTGCTATATTTGAGGAGGGAATAATTCAGTTAACGGATGAATTTGCTGATTTTCAACCAGCTTTGTATTATTACAGCAATGTATGCCAGCAGCCAGATCGCCCGTTTATTAGTCAGCAAAAGTCTGTCAGATGATGCAGAACGAGTCATTTTGTCATTTGTCTGATTATTTGACAGTTCTAATATTCCTCTAATATATTCTCTAATACAAAAGTATTTTTTGTGTAAATTATTCCTTTAACTCTGTCATAACTAATAATATGTTAGTTTGAGTCGCTGTAAGTTCATCATTGGATTCTGTGATGTTTTTACTTCATCAGTCCTTTATGGAAATAAACACCCACATGTCAATAGCATACGAATATGATGAAGGAACATGTTTCATGAGTGCAGAACAAACACCCATCAGAGATGATTTTACTCATGTTTGTCCGTGTTAAAGGGCTAGTGTTGTATTTCAAAGGCTTGATGTCGATTGTACCACTTCAGATGCCTTATTGTGCCATTATAAGAACAGAGAGGAGCTTTACTGATGGAAGGAAACTCAGAAACGACGTGTTGATGATGTCAAACAAACAGTTTTAATGATGATGTGTGATTTTTATCTAGAGGTGCTCAGAAGATTCGTTTCGATGTGCTGTAAACAAGGTGATCAAAGATGCCAGAACTTTCTATTTCGCCAGCTATATTGCTCTTTCGTTCCCTGTAAGCCGTGATCGTGTGTGACTTTATATCAGTTTCACGAGACCCTTCGGACTCTTCGCTACAAATAATTCTGTCATTAATTGTTTATTGAATAAAATAAAATGTTTGATCCAGATAATTGATTCTAATGTGTTTTACATGTAATAATAATTTATCACTACACTGTAAAAAAAATTTTTTCATACTCAGTATTTCTGCTTTGTTTTCCAGTACAAACATCAAAAAATTCTTACGGCAACATATATTAACTTGTGAAGCTTGTTTTCTGAAAAATGTATCAAAATGAAGAGTTTATTATTAATCCTCATAACACATTTGGCTCTGTTTTGACCCAGGGATGCATTAAAAATTCTAAAAATATATATATATAGTTTTTAATAATGGAACAAAACTTTGCAAATGTTCCAAGACCCTCAAAATACTTTTCCTCCCATATTTTGTATTATTACATTTTAAGGGATACAACCATTTAAAAAAAAAAAGTTTCATGTTCGGGTCACTTTGATCTGAATATGTATGGAGCACCATTAGTGTCAAAAATACTTTCTGTAAAACTAAGTTAAATTGGTGTCAAAAAACTTCTTTAAAATATATTTGGTCTTTTCCTCATATCTCACACACTTTTGGACTGAATTTTGTTGATGAACATGAACATGCACGTCTATTAATGAACCTTTAAACTGTAAAATTAATTTATTTTATTTGAAAACTTTTCAGAGTAATATTGATGTTGTTTTGGTCTTTTGTTAGAAATAAATATGTAAGTTTCAAGAATTTGAGTAATCATAAGTTATAAATTCAAATTAATTTAATTAAATTCCATTAATTCCAATGGCGTTAATACTGATAATTTACAGATTATATGTTCTTATAAATTTCATACAATGATGCATTCAAATAAAATTTCTCATAAATATTGACAAATATTTATTTTGCATCATAGTGTTTTTTTTTTTTTTTGGTGCGGTTTCAAAGAATTTCCCTTTTTTTTTAATTAATAAAAAGGGGTAAATGCAGTGAAAACACGGTAACATAAAAAAAAAATGCTGATCAGATGCAACATGGATTTAGTTGACAAATATTAGGTTATGACTGTATTATAAAATAATGACTATTCTGGTACAAACAAAATGTGAAAACAGTCTACAGATTCTGAATGCATTATGAGGGTTAAAACAAAACAAATATCAGAATCAGAAAAAAGACAGTTTTCAGTGATTTTTCTGACCCCACTGGCAGTTCTTATTTTAATCATAATCTCACTTCATTTTGATCAGTTTCTCTTCTTATCTTCTGTCATTCTGTATCTATACAGTAAATGTGCATGATTTAAGAATGTTTGTACTGGGAAACAAGACAAAAAAGACTGTGAAAAAACATATTTTTTTGCAGTGTAAATCAACCTTTTATTCCCACAAACACGAATCTCCTGAAGCAGAGTGAAGCAGGGTTAATTCAGGATAATTGGACTGTTTTTCCCAGTCATGAAGCATCTGGTGGAGTGGATCAGAGTTCGTCTCTCGCAGTCTCAGGAGCGAATCACTTTGAGCTGCTCTGAGGGTTTCACCATCATCGAGGCGTATTTTCACAGACGCTCTTGTTGCAGTCCTTCTGCCAGTAGATGACGTTCCTGCGGTTCAGGTTCGTGCCGGTTCAGCTATTAATTGACTCTACTGATCCATGAATCTACTGATTCATGACTCTTTTGAGTGACTCTACTGATTCATGACTCTATTGATTGACTCTACTGATTCATGACTCTATTGATTGACTCTACTGATTCATGACTCTATTGATTGACTCTACTGATTCATGACTCTATTGATTGACTCTACTGATTCATGACTCTATTGATTGACTCTACAGATTCATGGCTCTATTAATTGACTCTACTGATTCATGACTCTATTGATTGACTCTAATGATTCATGACTCTATTGATTGACTCTACTGATTCATGACTCTATTGATTGACTCTACAGATTCATGACTCTATTGATTGACTCTACAGATTCATGACTCTATTGATTGACTCAACTGATTCATGACTCTATTGATTGACTCTAAAGATTCATGACTCTATTAATTGACGCTACTGATTAATGACTCTGTTAATTGACTCCAGTGATTCATGACAAATAACTGACTTCACTGATTCATAAATCCATTGATTCATGACTCTATTAACTGACTTCATTGATTCATGACTCTATTAATTGACTCTACTGATTCATGACTCTGTTAATTGACTCCATTGATTCATGACTCTATTAATTGACTCAACTGATTCATGACTCTATTGATTGACTCTACAGATTCATGACTCTATTGATGGACTCTACTGATTCATGACTCTATTAATTGAGTCCATTGATTCATGACTCTATTAATTGACTCCTGTTAATTGACTAATTGACAAATCTTTTGACGCAGAGTGAAGCAGTGTTAATTCAGGATAACTGGACTGTTTTTTTTTGTCAGAGTGGATCAGAGTTCGTCTCTCTCGCACAGTCTCCGGAGTGAATCACTTTGAGTTGCTCTGACGGTTTCACCATCATCCAGGCGTATTTGCACAGGTGTTCTTTGTTGCAGTCCTTCTGCCAGTTGATGACGTTCCTGCGGTTCAGGTTTGCGCCGGCGCACACGTCGTACCACCAGCCGCCGCACAGTGGTGGTGAAGCGCTGGTTGTCGTGCAGGTAGTTGTCGGTGTCGAGCGTCAGAGTGTCCGCCGCAGTGCCCTGGAACAGACCCAGACGCAGACGGTACTGCGCCTCCACGTCCTCCACCAGCGCCAGCTCGTACTCGCCTGTCTTGGTCACGGCATCCTCGTCCACCAGCATGATGCCGAGCTTGTACCGGGCCGGGCCGCGGGTCAGCCGGTGCAGGTGCTCGTTCTCCAGCCAGTGGTTCCCCCTCAGGGATCCGAAGCCGCGCTTGTACTCGTCCCAGCCGCGGTCGAAGTCCATGCTGCTGTTGACCGTGTTGTGCTGCACCACCATCCAGCCGCCCTCCTGCATGGCGCAGTAGATGGCGATGGGCGCGTCTCCGGGGCGGATCAGATACAGACCGTCCCACGCCTGACCACCGGAGCTCTGCCACAGATCGTAACAGTCCCGCGGAAACTCTGAGACAGAACAACGGCAGAATCACAACCGAGAAACTGACTCTACTGATTCATGACTCTATTGATTGACTCTACTGATTCATGACTCTATTAACTGACTCTACTGATTCATGACTCTATTGATTGACTTAACTGATTCATGACTCTATTAACTGACTCTACAGATTCACGACTCTATTAACTGACTCTACAGATTCATGATTCTGTTAATTGACTCCTCCTGCATGGCACAGTAGACGGCGATGGGTGAGTCTCCGGG